TTTTCAGTGAAAATTTTTAGCACCGATCAGCTCAATTAGCTTAACTAATGTGCAAACGCCAGGAAAATCGACCACACTTTAATGAAAATAGGAGGGGGGATAATAGGTTTAGTTGTTAGACTTGCATCTGGCTCAGTAAATACAGACCATGCGATTACAACAGAGGCTGTTTGGGTAATTGTTCCGTTAAACTGAATAGGTATTTTAAAGCAATTTTTTGAATAGAATCGTTTTTTTTTTTACATATTGCCACTTATGGAGCGAAGACGGTAGATCAGAATTTGAGTACGGCAAGTTTGAATGAGTTATTTCAGGAGTTTTACTGTTTTAGTAGATCACTGATCTATCATTGATTGCCGCAGAATTAGGCAACATCATGTTAAAGTTATTAGTCTTGGTAGTTATATTAGAATTACTATTCTGATTTGTTTGATTTACGAGATGCTTTGATAGTGTTAATGACTTGAAATTTCTTTTGTTCTTGATAATGGGTAAAGTAGAGGCACAAAGGCGTTAACGTTAACTAGATCGTCGGATGATGACCTTCAGATAAAAACGCAATAGAGGTGGTGTTGCAAAACTATAATATAAAACTAAATTATAAATTATAATATGATATTAATTGTTAAAAAAAATAATATTTCAGGTGTAGGAAGCATATACATTTAGACACTTAAGTGAAAATGCGTAAAAGGAAAATAACTAAATAAACGTTGGGTATAATTAAAAAGACATTAATGAACAATAGCGTGGTATTAATCGAAGTTAATAAAGCTCGTCAATAAATGAACTACTTGGTGCGACGGGTCACAAGGCGATAACATACATGTGCATCGTCAACTGCAACTTCCGAACTGTACATGATATCGTTTTTTTACATACATTTGAAGTTCAAATTTGAGCAAATTCATTAAAATTACGGTAAATTTTAAGTTCTTTTTCTGTATATTATAACATACACATTATGTATCTCAAGGGTACAATAAATGTATTAGCAAGTTACAATAAATACATGAATGAGCTTGATAAATACAGCCACCCAGTGATGACACTTTTAATTGAAGTTACACATTAATTTATGCATCATGCATGTATATTATATATATACTAGCCGACCCGGCACCGCTTCGTCCGTGATTGGTTGTTTATTTTGCCTTCGGACCATGATATGTAGAATTTTTTATTCAAATATTATTGTTTGATGTGATCGGCAAGTAAATATAAAAAAACGGTTAATGAAAACGGATTGAAATTTTTCTAGCGTTATAAATGATAAAAATGAATACAGATAAAAAAGAAATAATTTATGGTTGATAAAGAATTTTATTGAAGTTGATGAAGAAAGAAAAAGAAAAAAAAGAATTAAAATAGGAATTTTATAAGACTTCTGAGTATATGATGTTTTTTGTTATATTTCCTGTTGAAATTAAAATCATAAGATGATTCGGGTCCCCAGTTCGAGAAAATGCCACGTATAATTGGCCATGTGAAAAGCACTCTGTACGAAGATCTACGCCAACGTACTTGAATGTTTGTCCTTGCGCTTTGTTTATGGTAATGGCAAAAGAAACTTTAACCGAGAATTGAAGCCGTTTAAAAGAAAAAGGCAAGTCACAGGGAATCATGGGAATTCTTGGAATAAATGCAATTTCTCCTTTCGCTGGCCCTGTAAGAATTACGGCTTCTATAATATTATTTCGCAACGATTTTATTTGTAATCTTGTACCGTTACATAACCATTTTCATTTTCTAAAGTTCCGTTTCCAATTTTCAACAACTGTGCTGGAAAAATATCGTCCCCTCCGCATAAATAAACTCTCATGTTTGTTCGCAAATAAAGTTTTTCAACATAGTTCCATATAGGGGAAGATTTTAAGCAAGCATTAACGACATCAGCTCGAGTACCTTTATCATCATAATCATGTTGCGGAATCTAAATCCTTCTAAATTGTGTAATGGTACACGATTGTCCGTCAAGAAACTGATGAACAATGTAATACAATCAACGATCATCAAGGGCAATTTCAAAGGGGAGGAAGTCCTTATCCCACGAATTCCGACCATTCCAACAGATCTTTCATTTCAGTTTAAGCGGATTCAGTTTCCTGTTAGATTGGCTTTTGCGATGACAATCAATAAATCGCAAGGCCAATCGTTGGAAGTTTGTGGGATCAATTTGAAATGTCCATGTTTTTCGCACGGGCAGCTGTACGTTGCCAGTTCGCGTGTTGGAAAACCGTCTTCGTTGTTTATTTTTGCACCAGAAAACAAAACGAAAAACATTGTTTATCAAAATTCAATATATTGATTTCTGTAACAATTCATTACAATGGAATACTTGAATTTTATTATCAATCTAGACTTTATTTGAAGGCGTTAAGTTAACCGGGTCAACTTAATTTAAAAAAAAAATTTAAGCAAAACAACGTTTGCCTGGTCAGCTAGTTATTTATATTATATTTATATTTATATTTTTATCTGCTAGAGGGCGCCACCGGTGTAACTCAGTTTTTGTTTCTAAATCTCTAACTCACAGGAGTTAGGTCCATAATTTATGCTATAAACCCGCTCCCCGACATTCTCTATCATTTAAAAAATATTTCAGCCAAATCGGTTCAGTAGTTTTCTCGGTTAGCGCGGTCTAAGAAAAACCCTTACAATTTTATATATAGTACATAGATAGATAGATTTTATTATATTAACATATTTCTACACCAGTTGTGTTTTAAGCGCCTTGGAGGTTGGCCCGGAATACCATTTGATGATAGAGTTTTAATTAGAGGATTAGAATAAGATGCTAGACGGTTGTGGAATCTTTTATAATAAGTTACTGCTTCTTCTTTTACTGTTTTGATTTTAATGTCTGTGACCTGTGTGAAGGGTATAATTTGATACGTATGAAGGGGAGTTAGTTAATTTACTTGATGCAATATTTTGAAAAGCCTGAATACCATTTAAATTTGATTTTTTAGCATTTCCCCTCAGTTGGAGACCATAAGTCCAAATAAGTTTTATGAGGGATTTATACATTAGAAGTTTTATATTTAGATTTGTGTATTAGTTATTAACTAGTAAAGATTTAAGAATACTACTAAGTCGCAGATTTAATTGAAGTCTTTTTACATATATATGTTGGGCCCAGGTGAGTCAACGATCAAGAGTTAAGCCAAAATATTTAACTGTTGGAAAGTAGACGGGATTTGAGTACTATATAGAGTGATTGCCGGACAGTGTCCATGCTTAAGTGTAAAAGTTGGACGATAAGATTTAGTTTGATTTACCTTAATCTTCCAATTATTATACCAGGTTTCCATAAGGGAAAGATAATTTTGAAGATTATCCGATGCTACAATAGGGTTTTCATTAAATTTTGAGTTTAAATTTACAAGCTATAATTATTTTAGAAACATTTTTAATTTTTTAGATAACGTTACAAAATTTAATACGACGTTCTTTATAAGTAGTTTCTTCATATACCTACTGGAATTGATAACTATTATTATGTATAAAGAAACACGGTTATTTTTTACAAACATTGAAATTTATGTTAAAACGAAATTATACATTTTAACGATAATTAACGGTCGTGTTAATAATATTTTTATAATTAAAAAATAATTCGTAAATAATTTTTTGATTATTTACCTTATAAATTTAACTGTAAGAATCATATTTCAACTACCTATACTATATATATTTTAAATATTTTAGAATATTTTACTGTAAAATATACATAATATGTATATTCCAGTCAAAAAATAATGAATAACTACTACTACGGATAAGAAAAAAAAAATCAACTCTAACTAAAAATCGAAAAATAAAAAAAAAAAATTTTAAAAATAATTGCCATATTGATTTTCTTATATTTTAAAATATATATTATATAAGTATACAACAGTTATAAGTACCTACCTACATATTTACTTTATTCGCAATTAAAGGTTAAATAAATGACGTAGGAAAGATAAACATAAATTTAATCACCTAATTAAATATAAAAACACAGATAATGGTTATCTTATTGAATAAATGTTTAAAAATGATTGTTATAATTATACATTATTATTTTAGGTTTACCTACTATTTTTTTTAAGTACCTATATTTAAAAAAAATTTATTTTTAGTTTTATAGTTTATATAACAAGCGTTGGTATATACTATTCTACACATATTTTAGGTGCTAAATACCTACTGATTCCATATTTTACGGTATGCACAACATTAAAATTGTAAAACACTATTTAAAAAAATACAGTAGGACCTTAATAGAACAAACCCCAGTTATTCTAGTAAAAGTGGCTACCGGACGGCATTATAAGTCCATTTGTTCGTAAATACATTTGTAGTTTGTATGGTAAAAGTATTATTAAAAGTATTATTCAGAAAAAAAAATACTAATAACTATACTTATATACTATTAATTTTCACATTTTTTTTGTAATTCATTACTTATGTAAAAGTTATTTATTAATTTTGTAATTTAAAGTGCAATACATATAAAGCTGGTGAGATTATAACATATAAAAATATAATGTTCGTTAAATCAGCAACATGAATATGATATTGTTTAAATTTATTTAAGGTTTAAACAAGTTTCTCATGTCTATGAATTTAAGAAATCAAAATATTATAATTTATTGAAAAAATTTCGTTAAGACACTAAACTATTGAAGACAAATACGTCATTCAATTTTATAAAAGTATCTGTAGTACAATTACTTTGTTATGTATTAGTACACCTGTATATCAATAGTTTGTTCCAATCCACTGGTTACTTTTGAAAATGTAAGTCCTGTACTTATAAGTCAAAATTTAAGGTACCTAAGTGTATCGTGTTATTAAATGCATTGCAGTTTTTGACAGAACAAAAACAACCCATAATATGCACTACAGTCGTTACGAACGGTTTATAATGATTAAAATATTACTTGTTTACATTACCACCACAAAGAAATCGATTATGATTATGTACTTTATTATTTATCAAAAGGTACATCTTAATAATATTTCGTCAGTCATTATAAGCAGCTCAATGTGCCTCTCTCCGCATTATTAGTTTATTACTCGGCCAGCAATGATGGTTAATGGTTATTGTTTACATTGCTAACTATGCACTGTCAGAGGTCGATTGTGTTTTCATTACTGCTTGTGCTACTAATAGCTGTTTTTAATGTACACAGCAAGAATATACCTCCAAATATCCAACGCCATGGCATGGTACACACAAATTCTCGTTTTTTCAGATCATTAAAATCTTTAAAAATATCTGAAAAAGTTGAGAGACGTATAGATAATATTGAAAAGTCCATCGGAGACTCTCGGATCTATCGGGGATTGGTGATGAAAAATGGTCTTACTGCTCTATTGATAAGTGATCCTGAAACTGACATGTCTGCCGCATCTCTATCAGTTGCAGTTGGTAAGTTTTGAAACAATTTATAATAATAATTGTTATAGCTAGTATTCCTTAACAATTAGGTGATTTCATACTTATAAATTTTATCTAAATATTTGTATAAATGAATATCTTAAAAATGACAGAGAGCTTTTAAAAGAATATAAAAATAAATCTAATATTTTATGTAGGCAGTATTATAAATTTTATTTTCTATTACTAATTTTAATATTTTTTTATTTTTATATTAGGTAGTTTGAGTGAACCAAAAGACTTACCAGGTTTAGCTCATTTTTGTGAACACATGCTGTTTTTGGGTACAAAAAAATATCCAGTAGAAAATGATTTTGACAAGTTTTTAACACAAAATGGCGGATCTTCCAATGCATATACTGAAAATGATCATACAAACTATTATTTTTCCATTAAATCAGATTCATTAGAACCATCGTTGGACAGGTTAGGTTAAGAATGAAGCTTTTTTTTCAATATTTATTTATATTTAAAAATTTTTTTTTATAGATTTGCTCAACTTTTCATTGAACCTTTGTTTACAACAAGTGCTACTGAAAGAGAAATTGGTGCTGTTAACTCTGAACATGAAAAAAATATTTTTGATGATAATAAGCGTCTATCATGGTTAAAAAAAAGTGCAGCTGTTCCTAATCATACCTATATCCAATTTACAACAGGTAGACTATAAATAAATTATTTTCAGAGACAATCAAGAAATTTAGCTATAATATATTATATATATTTTTTTTATTTTGCTGTTTAGGTACCAAAGAGACATTATGGGATCTTCCTATATCAAGAAACATTAGTGTTCGTGATCAATTATTGGAGTTCCATTCTAAATGGTACTCATCTCATTTAATGTACTTAACTATTCTCGGAAAAGGTATTAACGAAAAGGTTATTTTTATTTATTGTATAAAGTTAATTATTATAATACATTTTTAGAGGATTTAAATACTTTGGAAGAATTGGCTGTATCTTTATTTGGAGACATTGAAAAAAAAAATGTAGAAAAGCCATATTGGAATGATCCAATTTATAAAGAAGAACAACTGGCAACTAAGACTGTTGTAGTTCCAGTAAAAGATATTAGAATGCTATCTGTTCATTTTCTTATTCCAGATCAAAGTAAATACTATAAAAGCATGGTAAAAATATTTGATAATTCTTTACACAATTAAGATATTTAAAAAAATTAATTTTATTAATTTAGCCTAGCAGATATTTGAGTGCTCTATTTGGTCATAAAGGCCCTACAAGTATTTTAGCTGTTTTAAAAAAAAGAGGATGGTCTAGTAAACTGTCAGCTGGTAATAAATTTGAAGCTAGGGGAATTGAGCTTTTTTATATTGATGTAGATTTAACAGAAAAAGGAGTTGATCATGTTGATGACATTATTAAAATAATTTTTCAAGTAAAATATTTATTTAGATAAAATGTTTAATCAGTAATATATATTTAAAAATGTATATTTTATATGGCTTAGTATGTGAATATGTTAAAACGTGAAGGACCCCAAGAATGGTTCCATGATGAAAATAGTAACATTAGCGCAATGCAATTTCAATTTAAAGATAAAGGTTCTCCGTTAGATTATGTTTATCGTTTATCTTCTCATATGATAGTAAGTTATATTTTTTATTATTTACTTTTATTATTTATATATTATAATGTTAATAACTGTTTTAGAATTACAAATTGGAAGATGTATTAACAGTTGAATATTTAATAAAAGAGTGGAGACCTGAGTTAATAGTAGAACTTTTAAGTTACTTTAGACCAGATAATATGAGGTATCTATGAATAAAACTTAAAAAAAAAACTAACACTGATAATTTTTTTTTATGAATTAATATTGTGACTATTATTATAGATATTAGATTTATTTAACATTATACATTTAACTACAGAAAACAGTATAAAATTATGTATTAATTTATCATACTATAAATTACTTAATAACTTATACATTATAAGTTATAACTATATTAAATTTAATAAAAAGACATGCATGATTTGTTAATTATGTGTTGATACTTGAGATATTTGAGTAGATTTAGATACAGTAGATAGAAGTTAGGGTTAGGTTAGATTAATATTTCAAAAATGAACGTGTTTTTATTATTAAAAAAATTAAAATATATTATTATTACAGAGCAACAGTAGTTTCTAAAGTATTTCAAAACAAAACAGATACTGTTGACAAATATTACAGAACACAATATTCAATAATACCAATACCATCGACGACTTTAAATGTAATGTATATATTACATACCTAAATATTATTTATTATGATTGATTGAAATTTATTTTAATTTTTTGAATGTTTAGGAGTGGAAAAAAGATGATTTATGTGAAGATTTAAAAATGCCATTGAAGAATGAATTTGTTGCTACAGATTTTAATTTAGTGCCAATTGACAAAAATGTAATATAATTATTTATTATATAGTTTTCACGCATGGTTAAAATATATTTTTCTTCTGTAGGAACCAGGATATCCACATATTATTCATGAATCACATATTTTGAGATGTTGGTTTAAAACTGATACAGTATTTAGACTCCCTAAAGCATATGTATCAGTTGACTTTTTCAGGTAATTAATCACAGAAATTTATAAACTTTCTAATATTTAATTTATACATTTAACCAATTAATTTTTTTTTTTTTGACTATTTAAATTATTCAAACAATGATAATTAATATCTAAATATTTCAAGTGTACTGTTTTTGCAAATACTGCTTTGTTTACTTAATTAAAATTTATTTTCATACATTATATATTATTGAAAAGCTTAGAATTAACATGTTCACTGCATACTTAAAACCTACTTGCAGTAAAAGCCAATTCTCAAAATTTATTGTTATTAAAATATAAGCTTTTATCTATTTGATATATTTTAATAAAGAGTTATTATTTAAATTTTTAGAATAATAAAAATGATTAAAAAAAAATCTTGTGTTATTGTTAATTGTAATTTATATTAAATTCATAATTTTATTTTTATTATAATGTTATTCAACTATGAATTTTTAAAAAAAAATTTTCATTAGTAAATTGAAATTAGTTCAATTGTTATAGTGTTTTATAGCTGTTTCTTATTTTATAAAGTATTATATAACTTATTAAAAATTTTTTTTATATAAATTAGCCATGTCGTAACAACAGATCCATTCCATTACAATATTATAAGTCTTTTTGTAAAATTATTCAATGAAGATTTTTCTGAATACACATGTGATGCAACGAGGGCTGGTCTAAATTTATTTATAGAACCAAGCAATTATGGTTTTAAGGTAAAGTCCACTCAAAAATTTCTACTAAAATAATTTTGTTATGAATTTACAACTATTATTTTTTTAGATGCAATTGAGTGGATTTAATCACAAGTTGCAAATTTTGCTAGAAAAAACTATTAATAAGCTTTTAACTTTCAAGATTGATCCACTACGTTTTGAAATTCTTAAAGAAGAAGTAAATTCTAGTGACAAAATTAAATTTAAGATAATTTCTTTAATATTTAAAAAACTTAATATTTGTCTATAGTTAATCAGAGATTTGAAAAATATTGATATGGAACAGCCCTCTCGTAGTGCAATGAGGTATAATTCAGTAATTTTATCAGAAGATGTTTGGGCTCCTAACAAACTACTGGCTACCATTAATGGTAAGTAATTATATTATGCCTAATTTAAACGGTTTGATTTATTTCCAGTATGTTTTTAGATGTTCAGATAAAAGACATTGAGGAATTTATTGATAAATTCTTTTCGCATATGTTCATGGAAGCATTAGTATATGGTAATATAGATAAACCTGTAAGTATTTTATATTAATAATTATCAGTTAGAAATGTTACTTACTCAATTATGTGGATTTATTTTAGAAAGCATTAGAACTTATTCATATATTAGAAACACCATTTTTGGGTCGAAATGGATTCCGTAAATTATTACCATGTGAAATAGTTAGGGCAAGAGAAGTGGAACTTAAAGATAGTGAGTTAAATATTTTAATTTTATTTGAGTCTAAGTAAAGAGAAAATATTTTTATTTTTATTTCTATTTCTATGTAATAATGAAAATCAACACATGGATGGTTGTTTATTATATTTTTCATTTCAAAAGTTTTGTATTACTATTTTAAATTAATTGTTTAAAAATATTACAGATTTATATTTACTAAGAAATACTGCAAATCCATAAGTGGTTGATCTGGTTGCAATACTATAGATATTTAATTTATTGCTTTAAAAATATTATATTGCTATAAAATTTAATATTACAATTGATTTTTTTTCAAAGTAACTTTTTACTATACACAGACTTACGTTCAATTTTTTTAGTATTAATTTATACACAGTAAACTGTATAATTTAATATTTTGCATATTTTGAATTCATATTTTTCTGTATTTTCTGATAATTCGACCTTTTTTTGCATCCTGATCATATTATAATCCTATTCCAAAAGCTGACAGATTAAATTGGTTCTGTTGTACTAAAATAATGTGTTTAATATCGTAATATTTAATAATTATATTGGAATTAACTAAATTTTTAAAGAATCTTTTAATCATCAGGAGTAGATTAAATACTTAAATTCTAAAAATGTTCAATTACCTTATATATATTTATTAAGGTATTATACATTTATACTAAATAATATACTTTTATTATACTTGTAAGTCATACTCCATTGAATTATTATGGCTTCAGGAAACTTAATTTGTTTATTTTATTTAAGGGGAAAACGCATTATACGAAATAACAAGTGATCATCACATCAGTTCATGTGTTAATCTGTATTTACAATGTGGAGTTCAGTCTACATTAAACAATGTGATAGTTAGCCTATTTAATAACATTATCACACAGTCTTGTTATAACACGCTACGTACACAAGTACAATAAACAGTTTTTGTTTAAATAGAAAAAACTATTAAAATTAATGTTTGGTAATAGGAACAACTTGGGTACAATGTGTACAGTTCATCAAGCAGAATTCATGGAGTACTGAATTTTCAAATTACTGTACAGTCTGATCGTACTCCGATGTATGTTGATACAAGAATAGAAAACTATATAAACTCTATTGAGGTTAGTGGGTTTGAGTAGCTACATTTTAGTAACCTAACAAATTCATTTTTTTTATTCTAGCAATTATTAATGAATATGTCTGAAGAAGAATTTAACAAGTACAAAGATGGTTTAGCTGTTATATTGTCAGAGAAGCCTAAAGGCCTAATGAATCAAGCGGCTGTCTATCAAATTGAAATTGACACACAAGATTACAATTTCAACCGAGCGCAAATTGAAGTAGAAACATTAAAATCAATCCACAAAAATGATATTATTGAATTTTATCATGTAAGTGTTACTGCAATTATTTTAGACTGTTATTTAATTAATAATTTGTATAGGATCAAATTAGTCAATCTGGGCCAAAACGTCGTAAGTTAGCAGTACATGTAAAATCTACATTATACAATAAAAGCAAAGATAATTTTAAAGATGTGGATAATAGTTTAATAGTAAACAACAATGTATGTTTTAAAATTATGATTTTATGTTTATTGATCAACACAAATATTGTTAAGTTATTATTTTTCATCTTACAGATTACTTTGATTAAGGATATAACAGAATTCAAGAAGAAGCATTCACTGTATCCATTGTCTAGCCCATTTATACCTATTAGACCCACATCTACAAAGTCCAAGTTATAATATGTATTTTAAATTATTTCTTACAAAAATATATTAGATTTTTTTACATCTAAATTATAATAATTCATATTGTATCAAAATATGTATATTTTTTTTTTATTTAGAATTGTAATTAAAATTACTTTTTAGACTGGCTATTCTCAACATAAGGTCTTTAGATTATTTAGGGTTTCCAATATATAAAATAATACATGAATTAATGTTTAATTATTTGGTTATCACTTTATAAAGGTTAACAATCTCTTATTAAGTCATTTATTTAAACGACCTCTCAAATAACATACCTAGTTTAAATAATTAAATTATTGTTACATCAAAATATAGGTATTTATTAATGTTATAAAATACCACAACTATTTTTTAAAAGGAATATTACTGTAATTCTTGTATACATTTTATTTTTTTAAACATCTAATTGTTTATTTAAATTCATTTCAAACATTAATGATGTTTTATTAATGTTAATAAGAAAAATTTATTTCTAGATAATAAACGTATAATGCAAAAGTAGCCCTGTGATTATGCAATTCAATATTATCTTGTCACCTACAGTTTTATCAAATCTATACACTGCATAGTATAAATAATGAATAGTTTCATATTTTATGCCATTATTATGTACTGTACTATGCTGCTGTTCATCTGTTGTTTCAATTGTATCAACGGGTTGTAAATTATGAATCATTGAAATGGTCAGAGCTTATAAGAATATAGAAGGGTAGTAAGTAATGAAATGTTTTATACATATTTTAAAATATAAATGGATAGAAATAATTTATTAATAGTAATTGATATACCTGAATGTGATACCTAAAATGTACAACTTACAAAAAATTTATTCTTTATACATGTGGTGGTTTTGGAGAAGAAAAATTTTGCAAATTAAATAAACCAACAAAGGACAACTGGTCATGCTCAAACTGAAAATTTAAGAAAAAAACAATATCTGAAAATGCTGACGAAACATTAAGAGACGTTGACATACATTGTTGAATCTGTTCAGTTTATGAGTGCCTAATTTGATAGCTTTAGACAATACTTGAAAAAGATTTTATATCAACAGTTAATTGTCTAAAAGATGAAAATAAGTCAATCAAAGAAGAAAATATGTTTTCTGCAGTGAATTATTATTATTGATGATTCTTCACAAATCACTATTGGTCGTTGTTAATATGCTCGAACAATTTAGATTGTTATTTATACATAGTTGGAGTATCTGAGATAGAAAATGAAAATTGTACAAACATATTTAAAAAAATTACTTCCAAGTTGGGTATAAAATATAAATGTTGCAATTAAAAATGTTTTTCGAATACCTTCAAATATTGCAGGTAAACTTAAAAAGCTATCTGTATACTGTAACTGATTTAATGATTTAAAAAAAATATATATATCTTAGAACTCGTCTCAAAACAAAATATGGTTATAAAGGACATTGACTTGAGTATCTATTTTAATAACCAAATGACTTCGGTCTTCAACCAACCGAAAACTGTTTTATAAAACAAGAATTATCACAAAAGGTTTGAATTTGAAATATATTCGCTTTAAAAATAATAAATTTTTTGTAAAAAAAATGATATCTCTAAAGCAATACTTAATACTATTTTTTTTTTCATTTTTGAATCGACGATGCTGCGGGAACTGCTTTTGCATTGCTTCCGCGAAACGCAATACTTACCAAGGACGAAAACTCCCTATTAAAAATATCATAGGTATATTATAATTTTTTGTTTTTTATTTATAAAGAGTATTTACAATTTGTAAAAGAATAGCACAATAAGCAAATGTGAAAATTTATATACATTTTAACTGTGAATTACACGAAAAGGGAGGCCAACCAGTGATGAAATCTGTGATATTATTTCATGTCAACAGAACTCTGCAATATTTTCTCTTAAGCTAATAGATGGAATTTATGGGTTGAGAATTGGATGAATTTGCAATACTAATGGGTTATTATGGGAATTTAGTTTGGAATAAAAATATCTGTAATTGTTGGTGGCTAATTGGTCAATTGATTCGATTTTTAAATCAGGTGAGGTGTCAGTGTGGAGTTAGATACAAACCAAGGTGCGAGGTTATCATACGGAGAGTAATCGACTGAAATGCTTAAATGGTGCGAGTTTGAGATGGCTTAGCACAGACCCAAATTTTGATCACATATGTCCATATTGGTCGCAAAAGAGAGTTATACATGATAAGTTTGGAATGAATTGAAAGTTTTGATTTTAAGATTGGGCGAAGCAGATGTAGTCGGCTGTTGTCTGTTGAAGAATTTTCTTTTTCGTTTAAGGTGGGGGCCCCAAGTTAATCTTTTATTAATCGTTTAATGCCGAGATATTTGACATCAGAAGATAATGGGATTTGAGTACCATGAAAGTAAACAGGTGAAGGATCTGTTATTTTTAAAGTCAATAATGGTACATAAACAGATTTGTCTGGATTTATTTTTATTCGCCATTTAGTTGTCCAATTATCAATAGAATTTAAGTAGATTTGTAGAAAGTTGGACATTTCATCAGGGTTATTACTAGCATAGGTTAGGTAAAATAAGTTTTCAGATAAATTACTTAAGAGAAAAAAAATATGATTAATATTTATAATATTATAATCATGACTGATCAATATATAGTTAAAAAAAAAAAATAAAAAAAATCTATATTAGAGTAAACACATTATAAGATACAGAAACTGAATATTATTATAAGTTTCTGTAACGTTATTTTTTCACAGAGAACTTTGTAGAAGTTTCTGAGAGTGAATATATCAATATATTAAACATTCAGGTCTTGGCTGCATATAAAATTGTGTATTCATGGTCTTACCAATTTAATTTTCCAATGCTTTGGATAAGTTTAATCGAAAATAATACAATCCAAGATTGGCATTGAAAAAATAGAACATAATTTAAAAAAACTTCATACCTGAATATTTCACTGCATTGACATTAATTGTTTTCATTTTATATTCTGAGCGGAAAGTAGAATCAATTGATTTTAAAATGTATATTTTTTATTTATTTTGTGTCAACACGTTTTGGAACAGAAATTTGCTTCAATCTTCAACTTCAAAAGTGGTTTCAATATAAGTAGCAAATTCTAAGTAATAAATAAGAAGTTTTAAAAATAATCATTAAAAAGAAGTAAAAATTAAAAAAAAAAATGTTGACACAACATAAAATTATTTGATCAAATAGATTTGGATTTTTTTTTTTATTTATTTAAAAAATGAACATTCTTAGTCTATATAGACATGATTTTTTTTAAAGTTTGTACTTTTATAGTAATCAATAATAGTATTTTTCTGAGTTATTAGGAATTTGGGTAACTAAGGAAATTAATGAATTAGGTAACAAGAAAATATAAATGAAATCAAACGAGAGTTTTTATGCAACACAATTAGTTAAGCATCCAGTTTTTGATTATAAATAATTGATTTCGTTGTATTTATTTGTTACTTAAAAAGGTATAACAGCTAAATGGGTGAGACTTAATATTTTCATCAAATGTTTAGGCTCTTCTGAGGAATCTATAGAAATTTAAAATGCTTTAATTAATAAAAATTGTTTTTCGTCCAAAAAGCTTAAAAATGTAATACAATACTTTTTAAATATTTTAAAGAAATTTAAAAACTTTTATAGTAAAATTAATTTAAAAAACACATTTCCAAAGTTTCTTTTTTTTTTTCAAGAGTTTGAAATTTAAATTTTGTCAATTATTAAATATATTATATAATCAAAAATAATTATTATCTAAAGATTTTAGTTATTTTAAAATGATGAAAAAAAATGAGGTACATATTTAGACTTAATTTGTTAAGAGACCGTTCTGGTAACAAAATTTGACCGTAAAAATATGCTTTCTTACTACTCATCTAAAACACCTCTCGTTAGTCGTAAAAATATGAATTTTTTTACCAAAATAAACTTGAGAAGTTCTTCTAGACAATTACGTTCCAGTTTTTTGATATATTTTTTTGTCTATTTAACCTAACCTCTAAATATTTTAAATTTTTTTAAAATAATTGGTCTGAAAAAAAATAAAAAATCTGAAACGCAATTGTCTAAAAGAGCTTTTCAAGTTTATTTTGGTGAAAAATCATGTTTCTATGACTTAAAATTTATAAGTAACGAGAGTTGAGGAAAATGAGAAGTACGAAAGCATGTTCTTACAGTCGAATTTTGTTACTAGAACAGCCTCTTAATCGTAGTATTAATAAATATTAATAATTATTAAATATAGTTTCTTAGAATAGCATGTTATAGTTAAGTAACCTATATATAGTAGGACTGATTATGCATACCATTTTCGTGGTGTTTACCAACCGATAAGTGATAACATAATATATAATTCATAATTATATGAGTTAAAATAACAATCATACCTACTAAAACAACCACCGTGCGTGACGATCGTTAAGTTGACAGCGTAAAATCTTTTATAGTTTCTATAGCGAGTTACGACTGTAGAACATCTTCATATATTTAAATGTATATTACATAATATTATGTTAATACATAAAATGTAAAATATCTTTTGTTTTTTTGACAACAATTTAATTTTAAATAGAAATTTAAACTAAATACATTTTTCTGTACCATTAAATAATTGCAAAACTTTGAGGGTATCAAATTTGTGAGGAAAAGACCCCGGACGGTGACCCACACATTCTGGTATCAAATTGTATCTAGTTAGTAGTTGGTATTTTTTAGTATCAAGAGTGTATATTTTCTAGTATCTATATTTCTTAATAATACGGGAAGACAAAATAAAAAAGGTAGAAAAGTGGGAAGGTACTTTTTTAGATAAGGTTAAAAATTTAATATAATATTCTTCATTAGTACCTAGTTTATACTGGAATAACTGATAACTGATAACAAATACAGTTATTCTACAAACATTTAAAATTTATGTTTAGACGAAATTATACATTTTAACGATAAATAACGGTCGTGTTAGTTATATTTTTATAATTCAAAAATATTATTTGTGGGGACTTAAAACTTTTACGTTTATTATAAATTTTACTATACGCAATGATATATTAAAAAAAAATATGTGGATTTATTATAAAACATTACGTATATTAAGTCTTATAACATGAACCTATTCTAACTGTTTTACTATAAAATGGTTGTGTTATTCATTAACAATTAATAACAATGTAATAAAGAAACATCGAAAACATTTTCCTATTTATTTACCGTATAAATTAACAACTAATTAAAATTATATTTAACTATACTATAATTTTAGAATATTTTACTAT